AGAAAAGAACCATTGATGGATCACAGATTAAAAACAAGAAGAAAAAAAAAAAAAAAAGAAAACACCAATGTATAGGGAAGTTTCTACGGAATCAGATTCAGACCAAGCTTCAGAACCTCCCAAAACACACAGGCATTTGAGTAAGTAAAACATATCTTCGAATTTGTAATCTAAACTTTTCTGAAGCTTCCAAGGACTTTCAGATTTAAGGCTTGCATATGGACTTCAAAACTGGCAGAAGTTTCCCTGTCTCTCTGAATATTCTGCAACATTAACAGCCAATAATATTTTCATTATTGCTACCACAGTTCCTCCCACAGCAGCCTCTCATCTCAGTCCTAGCTCTCAGATGAGCCACAGAGCTTCTTAACTGTTGGCTGCTAAACACTTAAATTACCCTGTGGGTTTCTCCCCATCTTCTCTTTTATGTATTCCCACTGTGTATCTTCACAGAAGACAGGATGTGTATTTTGCAGCATGGTGTTCCAGCTCATGGCTCAGCATGCAAGATGCACTCTCTAGTCTGGCTGCCAGCATTCCCAGCATCAGAACATAGCTAAATAGCTCTCAGGATAGGGCTCATTAGGCTCCACTGAATAGCCAAGAGGAGCAATAGATTTTATAAGTGAAAGCATTCACCAGGTGGAAAATACTCATCATTTGATTTGAGCAAGGACAAATCGCTCTTAAAAGACTTCCTAGAAGCTACATAGATCTATATATATATTAAAAAGTTAGAAAACCACATCTGAATTTATTCTCTTCAGCTTCATCTTCCCTGCAGGAAAGGCACATTTCACAGTGCACCCCAAAGTCCTGGACTCCTCTTAAGTGAGGAACCCACTGCAGCCCTGTCCCTGTTATCTGCCTGGGTCTGCTCCCAGAGGAAACAGGTAGAGCGAAGAGATGACAGATTGCTGCTCAAGCCCCACTGGAACAGGCAGCTGTGGCAGTGCCAATGCACCTCCTCAAACAGCTGTGAAGTGTTCCCTGACCCCACTGTCTAGATACATGGGACCAAGTTTTGTTTCTTTTTCATCTGCACTCAAAAGGCATCAAAGTGGCCATTCCAAACAGCACATCTTGACTCCTAAAATGCAAACTAAACAACTGAATTGGAAAGTATAAGCAGAAAACAAAGATGATGGCCAGGCACTAGGATATACTGTGCCTGTACAACTCTCAGAGCTGCTTCATGACACAAAGCAATTGCAATGCCTTAATTCGTAAAGAGGAGTTTTCTGGTGCTTACGCTAAATTTGAGGATCTTTCATACTTCACTGAGAAAATCTGCATGACAGAACTAAATGATTAAGGCAGAATGGGTTATACTGATTTTCTATTTTGTTACCACTAAACTTTTTCAGGACTGTTTCAGCACAGCAGCACATCCTTTCCTAAACCGTGGAACTTCTAGGCTGCATTTCCCTTTACTGCCAGCATGGGCTCTCATACAAACTCCAGTGGACAACAGGAAGAAAGCTGTAGGGATCTTCTCACTGAAGGGGACAGGGTCTTTAGCAGGTCTGTTGAGATAGGACAAGGGGAAATGGTTTCATACTAAGAGAGGGGAGATTTACACTGGATATAATGAAGACTTTTATTACAGTAGGGGTAGTGTGCTAGTGTAGTGAGGCACTGGCACAGCTTCCCCAGAGAGATGGTGGATGCTGCATTTCTGGAGATACTCAAGGCCAGGCTGGAGAGGCTCTGAGCACCCTGATGTAGCTGTGGGTGTCCCTGTTCATTGCAGTGGAGTTGGATTAGATGTGGGGGATCTAGATCTACATCTTCTCACGGGGTCTAAGTCTAGTGAGCTCTTTACAGGGGAATAAATAAATAAATAAATAAATCATGGACAGCCCTGGTTTGCCTGGTAAGGCAGAGCTTCAGATGCTCAAAACACTGCACCTCCTAGATCTGCAGTGACACCAGCAGTGACACTGGGGTTCGAGGAATTTGCCTTCAGTAGGAGCTCTAATGAAATGGAGCCAAAGCAGAGAGCCAGCTCCTGCCAGGGAGGGATAAACAACAGCTTTGGAGACAGTCTGAAGGATCTACTGAGAGTGTCAAGTCAAAAAACAAAATCTGTGAGGAGATTAATAGTGAGGTGACATAAACTACTGTGCCAGAGGCCATGTCACCACCTTCAACCACAGCTCAACGATACAGGTTCCCCAGAACAGGGGGAACCCTCTGGGAGGGAGAGGGGCCCAAAGCCAAGAGGACCAGACCTGCAGGCCACACCTGAGCCCACCACTTAAAGCAGCGCAGAGTTCCCAGGGGAGGTGTTCCCACAGGAGACCTTCCCCACTGCAGCAGCATGCAGACAAGCCTGCACCACGAGTACTGAGGCAGGGCAAGCTGTTCTTTGCACTGACACGGCCTTTGGGACTGTTGGCTTTTTATTGCTGAGGCTAGACGGCCCACGTTCATACAACAGTGGTTTCATTTCAGGATTTATTAAGCGTGTTTAAATATTAAACAGCCAATAAATGCCAAATCGAAGACAAATATTCTGTTAAAATGTGAAAAAGAGGCTTCAAAACAGCAAAAGCGAATGATACATGAGCTCTCTCTTAGGGGAGTGTGCTAGGCCTGATAGCACCGTCACAAATATCCCATCCCAGAAGTGCTGTTTTAGCTTCTCTTAGCACTTCAGGATTTTTTAAAATTTATTTTTACTGTAGCCCCAAGCTTACTTTTGTTTCAGGAAGAAAAAAAAAGCCCAGGTTTTGCCCTACAACAACCAGCTCTGGTTGTGATGACAGCACAGCAGGAGGGCTGCAGCTCTGCAGCCTGCAGGCTGTGCCCTGTCTCTGCCACCTCACCATGTCTGCAGCTGATACCTCGCTTCAATGGGAAGCACACAGCTGATGTGGAAAGGTTGCTGGGCAAGAGCACAGCCTTCACTGTTGAAAGAAAAGCCAACATTTTCCAAACTGTTCTGTCTGTAGTGTTCCATGTACCATGATGCCCACTCTACATTGTTGAACTCATGTTGACATGGCAAAGCTACGAGCCTCTTTAAGTTACGTCCATGGCTGTTCACGCCATACCTAACACTAACGCTACAGTTGGGTTTCCTTGGGAATGTACATGAGCCTAAAAAGAAAAGTCACTACATAGAAAACAGAGCCGTGTCAAAGAGAAGTCCTCCTAGCAGGGCAGAAGAATTGGGTCATCAAGTGGCCTGAACTGGAGACTCCTAGTGAGATGCTGGTCACAGGTGCAGTCAGAACCAAGCGCCAATGTGAAGAGAGGAAAAACACATTCGGGACCTAATTGACACCCCAGCAGAAGCAGACTGAATTCAGAGGACTTTGGCTCAGGCTCTTGCTTTTCAAATCCTCCCAGGCTTCATTTCCACACTAGCTAGGTCTGCATGATTTTGCATCATTAGGCAGCATAATGTGTGAGTCAGAAGGCATGCAGAAGCTTCCTAGAGATTTTCTCTTAAGTATCCATTAAGCATTGTGTATTTAAGCTGCATTTTCTAAATCATAAACAAATAAATACATAACACTTCCTGATTTACGTTCTTACGTTAAGTTTTTTTAAGTGAAGGTCACCTTGAAAGCTGCAGTGTGAAGTGCTAACTCATTTTATCTCCAGCATCACTGTTCTGCCTCTTCCTACAGTAGTAAAAGACCCTCATGTATGAAAAACTCATTTTTAACTCTTGTGAAAAGTGAAGCTGTCACAGATTTTGAATGCAGTGCAATGATGAAAGAGCACCTGCCTGGCCATGTCAAAGAGCTGGCTGGGTAGGAATCCCACAGCACGCTGCATAGTTCTGAAACAACTTTGGAGAGGCAATATGGTTTCGGAGATACGGTGGTGGCCCCGGAGATCAGGAGACCTGGATTCTATTTCTGGCTCTGCCACTGACCTGCTAAATGACTAAAGACAAATGGCTTCTACACACCTGCCAAGTTTAACAAAGCAAGTGCGAGACTTGCACTCTCCCATTCCCTCTCAAGCTGTCCCTTCACAGCACCTTTATTCCACGCATTTGCAGCACAGCCCTGGCTCCTTTTCATCCCACTGATTCCCTCTCCAGGCTGCAGCTTATCAGCCCCTTCTTGTTGTGCCAGCCACCACAACTGGGGTGCAGGGTCCAAGGGTAGGAGGTGCGGGTGGTGCTGTTGGGGGCTGTGCTGTAAGATACATTTACCAAAAGGTACCTGCACCAGCTCTCTGTCCATGTCACAAGGCCTGACATGCCCAGGGGGGCTTTCTTCATGTCACACAACTCGTGGGCTCTGTAGACACAACTTTCACCTGCATATATCTCACAGACTGAGATGTGGGAATCAAGAAGTATATTTCTGTTTGAGGTTTCACTTTACTCTTTTTCACCTTACTACATGCACTGACATTACAATTGTTTGGCACAAGGACATCATTTCTTCATGTCTACATGCCACAAAAAGGCTCCAGCTCTCCTGAAGACCTGAGTCCCTCAGAGCCTTCGTAACTATAATCTTGTTTTTCTGCTCTGCTGACCCTCCCTCCCCAGAATCACCTCTGTAGTCCTTAAAGCACATCACAGGTCATCTCTGTTCCCAGGGTTGGTATTGATTTGCTGGACGATTTTTGAAAAGCATTATACTGTCCTGAGCCCATACATTTGAAAAAATGCTATATATGAACCAGCTATCATTATCAGTATCATTAAATATTGTACATATTTCATTAGTTATTCCAGCAGAGGAAGATAATGTACTACAAATGGGAGTCACTAGGGGATCTTCTGCCCAGCTTGCTGCCAGCATTGTCTCTGTAAACACAGACTGCTTGCAGCACTGATTTTGTTTACCTTTCACAATGGAGAGGTGGAGCTCTAATGCATCAGTTTCTTAATTTTTCCATAAAACAGTGTTACAAGGAAACACCACTACCTGTGCTATTTAAATTAGGATTCTGCACTTAAATTTGTGCACTTGAAATCAGCAGAATTCCTGGTGGGAGACTGGTATATAATGAGAAGAGCAAAATGTTTGCATCTGAAGATTACACTTCATTTACTTTATGCAGTGTCTTCCTTGGCTTCTGGGTGGTATCAGGAGAGGTCTTGCACTATGTCATCGGCACTGTAAACAGAAAACATGCAGGGGAGAGAAAAAATAACAGGATGCACTTTTCAAGGGAGAAGATCTCAAAGACAACTTCAGTGATCAGTGAACTGTGAATTTTCTCTGCTTTTAACGAAGAATGTAACTTCATCAACAGCTCAGAGGCAAGTGGACAGAAAAGGGCCGAAGTCCTATAACGGGGAGATGGGATCAATCACACACACAGGCATGTCCTAAAATCTTGTTGTATGAGAATAACCCCACCAGGACAGTAACTTCTTCCCAGTTTGTACCAACCTAAACAATCTTCAGCACTTGGAAATTGTGAAACATGCAGTTCTTCCACCTTGGCTTTAAAATTAAATCCAGTACAGAACTGAAGAGAGACCATTTCTTCTCAATTCAAAGAGACGCCAATAGCAAGAAAAGACCCACTCTAGCCTAACTCACCTTCCCAAGCTTGCTTGCACCCATCACCCTTTGGGAGGACTGTGCAGGCTGTGCTCATGATGGTGTGTGTCAGCAAGGATCCAGCAGCCTTACTCTCCCAGGTCCCATCACTTAGCAACAGATCAACATTCCAGCTTCACCCCAGCTCAACAATTATCAGCTCAGGGCCAGCACAGTGGTGCTCTCCCCAGCATTCATGTAGGCATTTATCCCAAGTGTTTAACAACTTTCTATTTCATGATCCTCTATCTCTGTAATGATGCCAATACTGAAAACTTGTCTCAGGAGACTCAAATCTATCTGAGGAAGTTTTTGACTATTTGGTACAAGAGTCTTTAACTCTGACCTTGGGAAGGCAAGGAGGTGCAATGTGAACTCTGCCAGCATTTCAGGTCACTGCCATAATCGAGGCTACAGCCTTCCTCTGGGGAACACAGCCACCGCATGCAGAGCAAAGACTCCTGGGGCTGGGTTACTTCAGAGGGTCAGGATACTGTTATCTAATTGTTTATAGATAAAGGTCTGTCAGCTGTTTGTGGCTAAAAGAAAACACATCTCTAAGTTCCCTCAAAAAGCTGTGGTGCGGTACGGTTCTCAAGGCAGGGCAGTACATCTCTTCCACAGGCTCAAGGCTGCTGTCTCTTTACCCAAAGGTGAAGAAAATGTGAGCAGCTAAGAGATGGGCATGATGGAAAGGAGAAGGGAGGATTACCTGGCTCTAGCAAAGCTACAGGGAACCTATCCGCTCAAAAACATGAAATGAACAATTGAAGAAAATAATGTGCTGCGGATATAGGGTCCTGTTGTCAGCCCCTTCACTGCAAGCTATCGATTTTACAGTATTTATAAGATTTATTCCCTTTTATTTTCACCAGGGGAAATTAGGCTGTCAGGATCTATTAACCCGAAACAAGCCATTATCCCTCTCATGACGATCACCTTGCAGGGCTGGCTGCAAAGTGCCCCCAGTCTCCGTCTGCTGGGGAAGGCTGGCAGCTTTCATCTGCCTCCCAGAGCCCCTCCGCCTTTCCTGCTCAGCCCACTGTAGGCCCAGCAGGCCAACTGCAATGCTCGCCTGGAGCCATGCGTGCACCCTGCAGCCCCACTGCCTATGGCCCGGCCATAAGCACCCAGCCCCCACATCAGCCCAGAGGAGCGCGTGGCTGTGCCAAGTGGCAGTACTCAGTGTGTGTGGGATTTGAGCTGACTTAAGCATTTAGACTCAAATGCAATACCTGTTTTTAATGCTGCTTTCCTACAATGTTTTTACCTGCTCGCTTTTCTTGGAAAGAATAATCTTAAATCCACAGGGATACCAAGCTCCCAAAACTCCCTTGTCTCTCTTTTGCTAACCAACACCAGGATGATGCCCTCTCTCACACTGAATTTTCTGTTTGCAAAGAGTGTTCAGGCTCAGTGGTGGCACTTCCAAGGAGCCTGGGGACTTCGGTCTTCACCTGGCCTCAGTTGAAGCATTTTGCACAGCACAGCCATTCTCAGAGGTTGTGTTAAACGTGCCTATAAAAGCCCAACTCTGCCCATTTGGTATGGGATTTTCAAAACCACCATAAACTGGCCAAATAAATAATCAGTTGCCTGTAGATCGGAGCTATACCCTGTCCCCCCATGGAGCCCATTTCCATAATGGACTGCAGCACTCAACTTCTCGCCAGTTCGGTCTGAGCCAGGCTCACTAAGTAGGAGCTGCAGAAAATTATGGAGCACAGACCTGGAAATAGGATTCATGGCCTCTCAACTGTTACAGCTGAGTGCATTTCTGCAGGCAACAGAGGCATTTTGACAGGTGGAGGAGCAGGCAGTATGGGATGCACTTTTCTTACTTTAGGTTTTCCAAGCCATGTGAAGAGTAGTCTGTGCTGTTTTAAAGCCCTACTGAGGCCCACACAGAAAACTGCAAAGTGAAGTTATTCCCTCACAAACAGTGCCTCATTCCTGAGCGCAAACTTAAACACAGCAAAACAGTCTATGGTGCAGGCTCAATTTGTGATTTTCAGTGCTAATAGTGTGGTGAAATCAAACTCAATTTCCTCCGGAAAAAGGCCACACATCACTCTTCAGTGAGGAGCATTTCTACCCTAAATCACAACTGTCAAACATCTTAAAAACAAATTAAAAATCAACAGCCACCTCAGCCCAAGGCTCCTGGGGAAATGCTTAGCTGCACTATTTGGGCTGTGCTCACGTGTTGCCATGGGGCAATTTGCACTCCTCTGGTGCTCTGGCTCACACTATAGCTTTAGTTTGAGTTTTCTCTCCTGACACTGACATTAAGTGTGGATTGGCCCTGTGCAGATGCAGGTATACTGCCAAGCAAACCACCAAGACAGTATGCTTCCATGCATGTGACAGTGAGTAGGATGGAAAAGGATGAACAATAAAACAGCTAGAGAAAGCTTGCATCACACGTTAGAGGCTCTAGAAGCTGTGAGCAAGTAGCCATGCTCATGCCTAGAATTTGGCTTCTTCTGCAAAGAAAGCTGTGTCCTGGAGTCACCTGCAATGAGGGGTGTGCAGAAGTCCAGCTGGAAACCTCAAGGGTAGCCACTGCCCCAAAGCCACTTCATCTTAGCAATGTTTGAAATGGTCCTAATGTGCTGTAGGGCTTGTACAGCTGATGTGCTCTGGGGAGATTGAAAAGGGGCAGTCCCTGACATGCCATTCCTCATTTAATTCCCTCTGGAGCAGGATGGTGCCAGAGCTGGTCAGAGTAATTAAGCACACCATCTGGGCCTCAGTGTCTCATGTACGCATAGAATAAGCCCTCTCCTTAACCCTTCTGAATCCACAGTTATTCACTAAGCTAAGTCACACATGTTGATGAACAAAAATTAGAAGTAGACTGAGCGGCTCAATGACAGAGCCTCATACAGACTGAATCAGACATCCTCCATCTCACCAGGGAAAGGAATAAATGATCCAAGGGTGGACTGGTAACCTGAAAATGATCAGTCACAATTCTAAAAACAATGGTTATGACCTTTGGACTTGTCAGCAGAGACAGTCAAAGCCTTTTCATAGAGTGAAATTGAACCAAAAAAACAACAGAAGGGACTGCGTCAGCAAGAATAGGAGGCTGGCCAGATCACAGCTGTCTCTACCAAAGGGCTTCCTAGTTCAAATGTTGCAAGCCAGGGGATGAGCCAGTGCCCAGATGGTATACCAGACATAGAAAGCTGCCAAAGTCCTCACAGGAGAGGAAGCAGAGGATGGGTCTCCTTGGGCACAGAACTTGCCAGGAGGAAAAACTCTGGGGATTTCTGACAGAGAAGCTTCAAAAACTCCTGTGTAATTTGTGTCATTCTGATCAGAGTAATAGAATTTGGCTTAGCTATCTTAACTATAAATGAGTTTATATCCAAACTCCTCTAAATTTATTCTTCTGACTTCCTGTCCTGTTAGGAATGTAGCCCTAGTAGGTGAAACTTCAGTTGGTCACAGAAGCAGCACGATACCATCACCCAGACAATGCAAGTGGTTTTCAGGAAAATCTCAGCTGAAGACAGGATCAGAGATTAAATATATATATATATTAAAATACACACATTTTGTTACACAGAAATGCTTATGGGTTTCTTAGAGGATCTCCCTGAATCAAAAAAAGGAGAGCAGGCAGTCAGAATTGTGTAAGTTGTGGTTATCAGAGGATGCAGAGAGATTCAAGATTGAGGAAATTACATGGGCTTTTGTAGGAGGCTGTTCAAAGACTAAATTGTACTATAGATACAAGTAGTACTGAGGACAGGAGGACTAGGTTCTGGCAGAAAACCCTGTAGAGTTCAGTTTCAAGTGAAGAGACCTTGAGTGTGCCAATACCACAGTTTGGTCCAGAACAGACCAATCCATCACAGTCTAACATAAGAAGGCATACAACAGCTCCAGAATACAACTTCCTGGCTAATTCTGGAAGAGAAATTGAAATAAAATACTGGGTATATGTCCTGTTATCGCTGCAGCCAAGCAGTCCAGCAGCAGCTTCCTACAAGGGTCTTTAGGAACACAAGAAACACATGGAAAAGAGAGAGAGGACTGTCTTGTTTCCTTCTACTCCCAGGGTGTGCATTAAATGCATGCTTTTATTTTAATAAGCAAATAAATTTATTTCCTTACCAGTTTATTCTTCAGTATCTGCTCTACGGTCTTTGACATGGTTTGGTGCCTTGACAAAAAGGAAAAGTACAAGGGAAAACACTGAGCTTTGAGCAAGGGAACAGATAAATGGTGTGCAATGGCAGATGCTGCTGTAGTTTCCTGGTGAAAGTACAGCTCAGTGGATGGAGCAAAAAAGGTGAGAAGTGTGCATTCTTTGCCTTCCTCCCAGCTTTGCTACTGCTTTACAGTGTGGTTATGGAGCATCTCACCCTATTCACCTATTCAATAACAATAATGCCAACTTATCACAAGGCATGAATGATTAGTTTTTGTAGAGTGCTTATTGAAATGGAAGTTATTGTGAAACACAATGTCATTGTTTTCCACATAGTATCATAAGGATGAGTTAAAATGGGAATAGGTATGTATAGTGCCTTCATGTTGAACATCTAGAGCATGTCAGGATCTGTTTAGATCTAGATTATTTTTTTTCCACTAAGATGAGAAGAGATATTTAACAGTGCTAGCACAATAGCAGCAGATGAAATCCCAGGACCCTTCATCATCAGATCTTCCTCTAAAATTCCTATTTATTGCACTTTCCCTGCAGCAACAAAGGCATAGTAGCAGCAACTATTACTGTTCCCATATACAAACTGTATTAGACAGCATTTACAATATTAGCTGTCAAATAATATCCTTCCTCCTGCCACCCACTCCTTAATATATTCTGACTGATGCGACAAAATGAAGACTTGGGTACTGGGAAGGGAGCATCTCTCCAAGCTGGCTGCAGACCACTGTATCATAAGGATACTACCTGAGAGGCATGTGGGGAAGAAACCCAGAACTGAAAAGGAAAGATAAAAGGGCAAGAACTGAAGTATTTTCTCTGTAGATGACTGTGTTTGAATTTTCTAAGGTATTTTTCTTTCATGCTGCTACCAACTGCCTCTGTTAAATGACATGAAAAGCTGTGATC